ATGGCTGCAGGCCTGACAGCGACCTTCAGTGTATATGACAGTTCAGGTTTGTTGTTGTTAAGGAATCATGTGCAGTCATTAAGCGTAACATCAGGGAGTGGCTGGTTTCCTCATTGACTTGACTTGTTGGAAGCTGGCAGGGAAGATCACAAGTGGTGAGGATGTGACAGTGGGAAGCTGTGATTGTTGTAACTGTGTAGTGGTTGCCAAGTGCCCCAATCATGATCCTGTGACTGTTGGGACACTGCGACAGCCACAACTTCAAGGACCGGCCATAAGTTTTCTTGTTGAGCACTGTTGTAACTTCGAATGGTTGCTGAACAAAAAGTCACTAAGTGAGGACTACCTGTATAGTCAAAAGCCCTTCTCTGTTTTTCATTGTTGACAAAGTATAATGATACCCCTGACGACAACAGGTATTGGGAGGAAAATAGTGACTGACATAGTAGTCTATTTTAGTATATGTCATATATTCATGGTGGGAATGGCAATACACTTCTCTCTAAGAATGCATGTGAATTTAAAAGTTAAAACCCATTTAAGGATAAGGCTGAAACATATAAGCTTCTAATATATTACCGTAGATAAACATTATCTCCATTATACATTGGTAGCATTAACCCAATAAATAAATCTATATTTACTTCAGGTTATTAGAATGCTTATAGGGATAAGGCTATATCTGAAAATACTATATTGTCTACAATACCCTAAGACTTCATGTTAACCCTTTGGGAAACAAGTAGGCACTTTCCTTATCTATCACTTATGCTGTCATTCTAATGGGCATATAATTCTAAGTGTCATATAATTTTTAATTGGCATTGTGCATTTTCAATAGAAAAATGTAATGGCTATTGTTAAAAACAATGTATTCATCATTTATCCCATTTGTACGCTAATGATTTTGCCAGGACGCTTGAGCATTTTAATAATAATGTATAATTCTCTGACAATCTATTATGATCAACTCTAATTCCCATTTCAATGAATAAGAATACAGCCTGAAACAGATGAAACTGATTAAGATTTAGCCTAAGCTCAACCTAGGACATGAAGTTAAACAGATAATTTAGGTTTAACATGAAGTTAAACCTAAGTTTGTTTTAACTACCGTTAAGTATATAACCATGACATCTGACATTTTCTGAAACAAAAAAACATGAGCTTACAGATCACAATGACTAGATTCATATGTATGCGAATTAAAAATAAAGTACATTACATTATACATTAAATAATATGTCTATTTGCAACTGATAATATTAGAATTCTCAGATTTCCTAATGTAGTTGCAACATAAGTAGTGGGCACAAAATAAGAGGAGATAGTAGAAGAAGTAGCAAAAAGTGAGAAACTGAATTTGTTAAAGCCTAAAAGCAAACTAGATTGCTTTTCTTTGGACCATGAGGTGCGATATAATAAATCAAATAGAAACTATGAATATACCTTCAAAAATGTATATACAGGCAGTGCTCAACTTACGACCATTATGGAACCTCCACATTACGAACACAAATGGCAATGGCCATTAAGCAAGATAGCCTCGCTTGACAATTCCACACTGCATGCTGCACCTGATTCGACTGTTAAGTAAACACATGGATCATTAAGGGGAGCAGGTGGTGCCTCAGGGATGAAGCTCTAGTAGAAGGCCTACTGCAGGCCCCGTCCCCATCCCAGGATTTCTCCCACTCCTGAACAATCCCTATGCTCAGATCCTGTACTGAATAGTTAAGGATTAAACCTGGACCTTCTGTATCTTCTATCAGAAGATTATGGTTCCTCCAATACTAATTACAATTTCTCTTTAATGCTATTACTGATAAACTTGTTTTATAGTTAATTCATTAGAATGTTATTAGTAGTTTTAGCATCCAGCATTTAAATAATACTATTAATCTAATAACAAAGAGCCAATTTGGTGTGGTGGTTAATTGTGAGGATAGAGCGGTGAGTTCTAACCCTTAGGCAATAAATCAGTTGGGTTACTTTGAGGCAATTGCTCTTGTTCAGCCCTAGAAGGCAGGCAATGGCAAAACATTCCAATTTTTTCCTCTTTCTAGATTAATATAATTCAGAAATGCTGTATCTATGATTGTCACCCTAAAGATCAGAAAAACACCTCCACTGCTACTACTATCTATACTTGATATCAATGGACTCCGACATGTTGAAACAAATGCAGATTTAGAAGTTTCATTCATTTCACAATCTAAAAACTCTAGAAATTCATATAACCCCGCAAATCTATCGAAACTCACATTCTAACACAATTAAAAACATTTTGAGGCTTCAGAATTAACACAACTATTGGTTCAAATAGCTTGTGCACGGCTTCTCAGCAAGTGCTTTAAGTATAAAGAACCAGTTGGGCTTTAACTATAAAGAACCAACTGGCAGCCCAGAATTATACTGATTGGAAAAAAATATATGAACACTGTAACAAAATTCCTAAAACAATGTTTTTGGTTTTTTTTAAAAAAGCAAACCCCAATCTCAGTCAAAAATGAACTGGAGAGAGTGGAAAATCCGAACCCCATCTTTTTAGAGGTATGTAAAAACAGGGCAGCCCCTCAAAATAAACTGCCACGGTTTATTCCCTGGACCAGCTCTACAGCGAGCCAGCTAAGCCGGTCCTGAAATCAGTAAACTCGGATTTGCCTTAACGATGGTTCTAAATCGAACTCGGGGCGGGGCAAGTATCAAATAAAACCGGCGTGAGAAAAGTCACAGCAATCTCGTAGTTGGCTAGCATGTTCCAGGGAACGTAAAACGGAAAGTTTCCCTTTTGAGCAACTGAGTTCAAAGCCCCTTCATAGCCAGCACGGGACCCAACCCAACCCGGACCTGAGACCGCCCACCTGCACAAAGCAAGCCAGGTCATTAAGCAGCATCCTTCCGCCCCGCGACTACGCCGTTTCAAGCACAGCCCTCCTCCCTTATCGAGCGGGCGGGCCTTGATTTCAGAGTCCGCTCCTTAGCAACGAGCTAGGCCGCACGCCCTGTTTTTCCCAACCAGCCTTTCCCCAACTTAGACGCTTACAGGTCGGCGCCCAGCGCGCTGAAGCCTGCGTTGAGGCAGAAACGGCCGAGGCGCCTCCACACCACATCACGGCAAGTGAAACGGAAAAGGCGGCGACAGGTCTGGCCCAGGCGGCCCAAGGCCCTCGCGTCCAGGTACGAGCAGATCAGCAGCAGCAGTTCCTCCGGCAACGCCCACAGCAGAGATCGGATCTCGGCCTGCGGAGGGTTGCTGGGCCTCCCCATGGAGGGGCGATCTCTCTCAGCCGGGCCCGGCAGCCACAAAATCAACAGCGGGAACGCTGCTGCTGCTGCTGCTTGCCGGGCCCGGGTAGGCCGTCGCTCTTCGGGGCGGCTGTTTCTGCCCGCCTGCCGGAGCGGTCACATGAGTGCGCCCGGCCCTCCAAAGACCGGTATTCGGTAATGCATTAAACGCCTGAACTGGCTCCGCGTGGAGTTCAGGATAGAAAAAGACAATCGGATACTCTTTTATTCCCAGGGCCAGCATATGTTTCTCTTAAGGATAGACTTAGTTGGAGGCAGGCCTAGTTCTGCTAATGAGCTGGTAGGCGAGGATAGTTATTTATACCTAGTGTGGCATATTGTGAGAACCTAGCCTGGGCGGTTATTTTAATTCATGCAGAAGCCCAGAAAATGGATCGATTAATAATGGCTAAGTATCTTATGCAAAAACTGCTCATCCTAGGTTTATTATCTCTGCAGGAGTTTTATGCATATTTTCCTCCCTCGAGATTGTAATGACCTTATACATTATACAGACAATAGAAATAGATTTGTATCTTCCTGGTTCCTGAACAAGTGGTGGGCATCTGTTACTTGAATTGCCAAGTTGTCATTTCAGAAAAGTTATGCCTATATGTATTGAGACAGGACTTGAAAATTGTTCTATGGGCAGTATTCCTGAACAAACTTTTCTTGTTAGAGAACATCACAACTACTAAAAATCCAGGTCCTTATTTCCTAAATGAAAAACTGTCTCTAAGCCACTTCATGTTTTGGAACTGCCATATTTGAAAAAAGTTCTGCAAAATGAAGGACTTATATCCAGTTATTTTTAATTAGTTTTACACTTATAAACATAATATAGCCTTATTGCAATAATTAAGCAAACAATCCTGTAAAAAAGATGCTCTTATGATCCCAGACATTTATGAAATTATAAAATGCAAGTAGTATATCTTCATTTGTCCTGTATCCTGATATTACACAATCATAAGAAATAACTTTTTAAAAGTACAAGAATATTTACTTTTTACAGAGGATACTGTTAGAAAATGTAGTGTATATATTGATCTAAATTTGAGGAATAATATCACAAATATTCTGATGGCATTATTATTCTCACCTATTATTAGCCAGTGTTTCAGGTGAGATGAATTACTCTATATGCAGCTTAGATTCTGTACATACACATAACTACCTTACAAATTTAGCCTATTTATTTTGAATTGTCATGAAAGGAAACATTAGAGACTGCACAGAATTTTGTGTGTGTGTGTGTATGCTTCCAGATACATCTCATAAAGAGCAATAAGTATTATTATTATTATACATTAAAAAGAATCAGATATTCACACAACATCTCAGAAACATCCATCTGTCCATCATGGAGAGACTTTATTATTACAGTCCAGCACACTTTCAGGAACAATGCAAATAAATATATGTTTAAGTATAATCATTTAATTTTCCTTTAGTCCTTAGACCCTCCTTATTTACCATCTCCAGAATATCTGAAAATATAACTGACTTCTGTTTGCCCAATATCTGCATGTTTTTTATTTCTTGTTTCTTTTTATGTACACTGGAGAGGGCAAGTGAATGAAAAATATATTTAACAAAATGTGTATCATCAAACATGTGAATAGATGCTATTTTAATGTTGTCAAAATCCCTGTAGCATAAAAGAAAGACATTGATAATGACAGTTAATATGGGCTACAGATTTTGCTATCAAACTGTGATTTTTTTCCCCAACTATAAATGGAAGGGGTATAGTTACTGTCCATACTGTCACAGAATCTAGTGATAATTAAAATCAGGGATCTTGTTGTATTGAATAATAATCTGTAAATAAATACCTGAAACAAATTACTTCTTTGTTTATAGAGTGGAGTTGAAAGTTGAAAAGTTGTTAGTTTGAAACAGATACACAATTCTAAACAATTGTAACTCTTGAATAAAAGAAATTAACAATGATAAATTGTATTCCATAAAGTTTTCACAGATATGGAAATATCTTCATTAAAGAGCATTCTTTGCTCTTATTTTTGAGAACTAGAATATCTCTTTATTACAGTCCAAGGGCAGTTTTCATGCATTTTACGTAGTTGTGATATATTTATTGCATACATTATTATAAAATATCTTTTATAACAAAAGTTCATTTGAAATATACCAAAAGACTGAATATGTTTACCCTCTTATAAATGATATTGGGGTGCTTATCCATTAAAAGAAGTCAATTAATTTTCTGAGTACCTAGGATGGTGTGGTAATAATAGTAGCAGTAGACATGAAATAAATCCCATACAAACATTGCTCCTGACAAAAGGAGTAATATAAAAGAAGATGTCCAATATCCAATCTGCTCTTGACCCACAAAGGAAATCACATTCATGATGCAATTTATAGTTGAATTTGCCCTTTAGGACAGAAAGTGAAATTATATTAGGGTTTTCTTTTAACTCCAAAATTTGGGTAGAGATGGGTTCTTAAAATAATCGATTGGCTGAGCTTTGGTCTCCATATTTGACACTCTTTTTTTAAAAATGACATTGAATTTCAGTTCCATGCCTTTGATGCACTGTACAAGTAACTACTAGGCATAGATAGATAACTGATAGTCTGGTCCAAGTTTTGATACTGGTTATACACTGCAGCACCAAATCAATTAAATCATAGTTATTATAAAGTAAAGCCAAAAATCTTGCTAGAATTCAAGTCTAAAAGCAAGTAATTGAGTGGAAGCATACAACTAATTAATTAAATTTGTTTTTATTTCCAAATGTTTCCTTATAATAAATAACAAATCCCAAAACCCATCAAATTTTGCAAATATGCATCATGTCTATCCTACACTGTAATCAGCAAAAAGTCATGGTCACACACTATAGCAGCTATAGACATTTGAAATACATTTAGTCTCCTGTGGTTGCAGTCTTCGTTTTTTTTTCCTGATGTCCAGCCATTATTTAAGTGTTTTATCAGTTTAATACATTTGCCTTTTTCTGTTTCACTTGACTATAGCATTAATTCTGTTTTATCTGCAAAATTAAAGACAAGCATGCAGAGCCTAATAGAGCACTGAGCATTTGTGGGGCTTCTGCTGTTATTATGGACAGTAACTCCATGGAATTTTCAAATGAAATAAAATGCCTTTCACAGTTGCGGAAAACTGGCTTTTCTTGCACACCAGGAGAATCAAACTGTTAGTAAAATGGATTTGATTATATTTACAGGTTAGTTACCGTATTTTTCGGAGTATAAGACGCACCAAGGTTTTGGACAGGCAATTTTTTTTAAAAAGGTAGGTAGAGGGATAGAGAGGGAGAGAAAGAGAGAGAAATACAGTAGGTAGGTAGAGATAGAGTAGGTAGGTAGGTAGGTAGGTAGGTGATAGAGAAATAGAAAGAAATACAGTAGATAGGAAGAGAGAGAGAGTAGGTAGGTAGGTACATAAAGGGATAGAGAGAGAAATAGAGAAATACAGTAGGTAGGTAGGGGGAGAGAGTGTGGGTAGGTAGGTAGGTAGAGGGAGAGAGAAATATAGTAGATAGGTAGGGAAAGAGAGTAGTTAGGTAGGTAGGTGGATAAAGGGATAGAGAGAAATACAGTAGGTAGGGAGTGTGTATGTGTGTAGTTAGGTAGAGGAAGAGAGAGAGAAATAGAGATAGAGAGAAATACAGTAGATAGGTAGAGCCGAGGTGGCGCAGTGGTTAAATGCAGCACTGCAGGCTACTTCAGCTGACTGCAGTTCAGCAGTTCGGCTGTTCAAATCTCACCAGCTCAAGGTTGACTCAGCCTTCCATCCTTCCGAGGTGGGTAAAATGAAGACCCAGATTGT